TCGTGCTGCTTGGGGACGTGCGGTTACACCTGGGCTTCCCAGCGCCGCTTCCCAGCCCATTCCCAGCACGGCTTGCCCTCCTCCGCAGCAGGGATGTATCCGCGTGTCGCCGTAATCCCCGCGGCTGTGGGTGACCTCCCTCCTCGCTTCCCTTGGGACATGTTGCCGTTGGTCTTGCCCTGCCTTCGGTCTTCTCCTACAAATCCCAGGTTTCTCAGGATCCCCTGTCTTTCATCTCCATGGAGCAACACTGACGCTCGTGGGCAAGGCAGAGGAACTAGCGAGGGAGGAAAAAACAAAAGGAAAAGGGTCCATGTCGGCACTTGGGAATCTCCAGGTTGGAGCGACCAAAGCTCCGTGGCTGGGGATGGATCCTGGTGGTCTCCGTCACCAGGGATGTCAACGCGCAGGGTTGGGAACATCAGTCACATCCTCCTCCCGCTCAGCTCCTAACGACTGGCGCTGCTTCCCGGCGGATTTCCAGCGAGCGCACAGAGCGGCCTGACGCGCTCCGGCCGGGAGCACCTTCCCGCAGCCCTCGGCTCCGGCCCAGCAGCGGCTCGGGATCCTGGGATGGGAATGGGGCAGGCAGGGGGAAGCAGCAAAGCGCAAAGTGGGCGACCGAGCGCCTGGTTCTCCCGGCAGCCCCGACGGCGGCCGCGAACAATGAGGCTCTTTGGTGCCAGCCAGAAAAGAGGGAGAAAAGAAAACGCGCCCGGATGGCTCCGGGAAAGTCAGCGGAGCAATTACGTTAATGACTGGGAACGGGCCTTAAAAAATAAATAAAAAGACAAAACCCGGCCCCAATATTGAGCGCAAACGAGCAAGGGGCTGAATGAAGCGGGCGATTCATCGCTCCCGCATCCGGGAAGCTTTCCAGGAAGCCGAGGGCCTGGCAGGATCCCGCTGCACCGGGGGCTCATCAAAATACCTGCATAACTGGAGCGGACGGGGCCGGGAAGCGGCTGATTAACGCGATCCGAGTGCTTTTAGGGGCAGAGTTAATGAAGCATTCCGCGTTTTGTCAGGCTCGCCTTTCTTTCCTGGGAAAATCCTATTAGGATAAAATCACTTAATTGGGCACTTCAAAGAGCTGCTGGGAAAAGGGCCCTCGCTGGGCTGCGAGCGCCGCTCGGCCGAACACTGCGCCCATTTAGCCTTTGCTGGAGCGCGCTGCGCTGGGAGCCCTCGCCGTTCCCGCTGAAAAGGGGGAAAAAGCTTGTTAGGAGAGAGAATAATAAAAAAAAAATCAAGATTTCAATCTTGCTGAAGAGGTTTCTGCCGCCTGGATGTTGGTGGCTTCCTCCCTGGCGGAGCTTCTTGTCAAACCTGTGTAGGATGAGCTGGGTTCACCCTCTTGCAAAAGAGCTCGGTGCAACCGGCTCATCCCAGGGCTGCTTTTGCTGCCTTCACCCCGAAAAACCTGGAGGAGGCTGAACCACTCCTGCTTCCCCCAGTGAAACAAGTGGAATAACAGGAAAATCCCCTTTCCTGCATCTTTGCTTCCCTGTGCTCAGGCACCGAGGCCTGAACCTGCTGCTGTCAGCTCTGGGCTGTGCCGTGTGGGATCCGCTCGGTATCAGGGGGATGGATGCATCCGCACGGATGCGTCCGGACACGTCTCCCGGTGCGGCACTGACTCAGCCGCCGCCGCCGTGATTAACAGCGCTGCGTACGTGGCCCGAGCGTCTCCCTCGCGCCACGTCCCGGGCTTGGGGACACCCCGGCGGGACGAGGCCGCGGGGCAGCGGGAAGCGCCGCTCGCCCTCAGCGCCGTGAGTCACCCTCGGCTTTCCCCATTTCCCACCCGCCTTCCGCATTAAATCACCCGATTTGTGCCCTCCTGTCGCGCCCGCTCTCCCTCCTTGGCTTTTCCATGTGGCCTTGCTTGCTCCTGGTCTCGCTCCTGGCTGCTCTCGGGCATTTGGGGAAAAAGCTGCTGCTTTTGACCTTCCCGCTCCCTTTTGCTTCACTGCGGTGCTTTTTATTGAAAAAAAAAAAGAAAAAAGAAAGGAAAAAAAAAGGGGGAAAGGAAAGGAAAGGAAAGGAAAGGAAAGGAAAGGAAAGGAAAAGGGAAGGGAAGGGAAGGAAAGGAAAGGAAAGGAAAGGAAAGGAAAGGAAAGGAAAGGAAAGGAAAGGAAAGGAAAGGAAAGGAAAGGAAAGGAAAGGAAAGGAAAGGAAGAAAGAAAAAGGGTTCATTTAAGGGATTTAGATGATTAGCTCCTTCATCCGCAGTCCCGGAGTGGCTGCAGACAGAGATGCTGCAAATGGGAGGGGAAAAACTGCTGCTGCTGCTGGGTTCGCGTTTCACCTTCGGTGCCGCTGGTGTCTTCAGCCAATCTCGGCAGCATCAAACCCGGTCTGGACATGCCCAGACACATCCTCGACTTGTCCGGGCGGATGTCGAAGCTGCTGGTCCAGCCAGGAAAGGCAGCGACGTCGTTTTGCAGCCGAGGGCGTCGCAGCAGCCCGGACACAGCGGAGGCTGCGGGATGGGAGCGAGCGCGGAGCATCCCCGGGCTCGGAGCCCGGGAGGGGCAGAGAGAGTCGCCCCTTGGGTCAGTTCGGTGACCCCCGACTGCACCGAAATCCTCCGCGTTGTCACCGGGACCCCCTGCGGGTGAAAGGGGGGGGTTCCCGGGAGGAACGTGGGGTCTCCCCTCGTTCCGGGTAAAGGTTCGTGGTCCAGAGAAGACGCTCTGGATCTGAGGGGGGGGGGGGGGGTGGATCCCTGC